TTCTCCACTTGCATTTGTTTGTACTTATATTTGATAAACTGAAAACTGGACCATGCCCAACGCTGTTTTCGGGTAAACCTCTATTAAACGGCCACCTCTATTAAATGGCCAATTGTCTAGTCCCCGTGAGTGGCCGCTTAATAGAGGTTCGACTGTATATAATGTATCAAATCACTCCAAACTGTCCCTACTTACTGGGCTGAGTGTGACTTTTCCAAATACTGGGTTCATCACGAGCTGGAGTAGCTGCAACAAAGGGCGACTGATTGCATCTTACTGATGAAGGTGGCGAGCCATGACCAAACGAGCCTTCCACTGAAGAAAAATTGCATAAACCCAATGTCAATAGACTTAATACAATAATTCTGCCTGAGGGATTACTCAAACAAATCATGATCATAAGCAATTGAAAATACTTGACAAAATTTGTTGCAAGTGATAAAGGATCTGTTTACATCACTACAAGGGCAATACTGTTAGGACACCTTTTAATAATCAACTATCACATAGTGAGTCGACAACAGAATAACATAGCACACGAGGCAATGTGAAGATAACAAACTCATTACGTCATGTTAACTCAACCAATAATAATAGTCCACTATACAGCATACATTATCATAATTATCTTAACAGCAAGTGCCTATTGTAACTAACTTGTGACAGTTAAAGACTAAACAACCCAGCTCAGAAAGGCCCCTGTTATTATTTTCTTTTGTTGTCAATGGATTACAGAAAAAATGTGTCTATATAAATTACAGTGTATTATACTCACGATGGGTGAATCTTCTCTGACAAATTTGTTCATTCTGAGATACAGTTCCTGCAAGAAAAGGAAATGATTGTAGTTCACTGACAAATGCAGCTGGCTACCATCAGTGGAGCACTTCCAAAGAAGAATTTCAGTGCTATTAAAACATCAAACAAGACCTAAATGTAATTTGCTCAAGTTTTCTAACTTAATATAAATATTATAACCATTTACGTTAGATACTTAATGATAACAAACTCGAAGCAATGTAGAAAACCTCTCTTTAAGAAAGGACAAAACTTAGACC